GGAAGTACATTCAATGTTACCCAGCTGCACAAGTGTGCTGAGCATCCTGGCCTCGCTGTGTCTTTGATCTCTTCTTGACTTGCCTTGTGCTGTCACGTGCGACTACACCAGGGCAACAGTCCTGAAGCCTCTGACCTTTTCCTACCTCAATAGCCAATACAATAAAATACAGCACCCACAAATCTCTTCAGCCCCAACTCTGCTTTTCCACCTCACAAACCTGATCTAACAAACCACTCATCTTCTGGAAGACAAATTGGAAAGTTTTGCTTGAAAACCAAAGGTGTTGGTTTCAAGTTCTTGGAAATATTTGCAGTGTTTCTGCTCCTGGCTTTCTGGGTCAGGCTTCATTAGGGTGAGCCAGCTGTAGCTGTGTCCTGTTGTAGATTGGATTTGGATTAGGGGTGTTCAAGTCTGCTTTTTCAATTAGAAATAAACATACAGTTGGATGAATAAAGTAAGGATAATGTGCATTTAATTCTTAATTTATACAGTACATTGGGATAGAGCAGGGAAATCAAGTATGGATTAAAAATTAGCATTGCCAGATGGTCTCATGAAGCCACTGTCAAATTTGTTGTATCTTCTATCAGAAATAAATTTGATCATATTTCAGGATGGGATTTTTTTGGAGAGTGTTGTGGGCCTTCTCCTCAAGCATCACTGCTCAGTTTACAACGTCTATCTTAGAGCTCTTCTGTTTACTCTTCCTGGATGCACTAAGTCCATCATAGTGGAAATGCTCTGTAGCACAAAACAGCCCTTAGCTCAAACTGCAAGTGTCTTTCCCCATGCAAAAACAAATCTTTGCTAATATGACACCTACACATAGCTGAGATGATAAGAAATTGATAGACGTTTCTTACTCATTTCTGGTACTCATTAAAGCTGCGCCCTCTAGTGCTTATTAAAAGAAAAGTAACTGTGCATATGTGACATCTAGAAAAGGAAAATTTATTCTGTCATTCTCATCTCTCTTCTCAATTAGAGGAACCAAAATCACCTTTTCTTTGATGAAACAAGTAGTTGTTTACCTCAACTGCAGTGCCCTTTTAGCCTGACAGCTTCTGTGGTAGTTAACCTCAATGGATATTTAATTACTTTGAGTGCCTTTCTGAAGTCCTGGTGATCATTACTGCACCTAGATGTACCATGCCACAACAACAGGCTCACCCTGCAATCTCCTCTTGACTGCTCTTTCTCCCCATGCCCTTCTTACAGCCTCTGCTCTGACTCCACATCTGAAATAAAGGCATCCTCCAAAGAGTAATCACTGGCTAATAAGAAATATGTAATTTATTAAACCCTAAGGCATTGTTTTTCTGGGTCACATTTAATTTCCTCAGGGTTGAGGAGTAGCCCATCTTCTTTTTGAGCAAAAGATGTTCACCACAAGGGAGGTCGCTGGCTCAGGGTGGTCCCCAGACATGGCATTACAGCAGTAATGCTCGGCAGGCCAAGATGTTCAGCATGCAGTGGTGTCATCATCTGGGAAGGAGACCCTGCTGCACAAATGGGGTTGGCTGCACAAATTGCACCCCAAAATAAAGGACATAGTAACTAGGGCATCCTGAAGAAGAGGTGGTGGGAGCTGCTTGTGTGCAGAATTGCAGAGTGCTTGCTGGCAGCTCTACTAGTGGGCAGGGTCACTGCACTGGAAGAGACCAAACTTTATGCACAAATTAGATGTGCTTGGAGTGCCCTGGGGAGGCAGATAGGTGTGTTAGGAAAACTGCCTTATGGCCTCCAGCATGTGCCAGCCCAGCATATGTTTTTTCCCCTGCTCCAAAATTAGTCCAAGACCCATTGCCTTCGCTTCTCCAGTCACTCCTCAAATGTACATTTCTCCAGCTTCTTCCAGCTGCCCTCTGGTCTCTTCCTAAGTAAGCCATAAGCACCTGTCTCTGCTTCTGGACAGGCAGGGAGGGTCAGGTGCCAGCTCTTTATCAGGGTGAACAAAGAGCAATTGCATCTTTGGATCCTCCTCTTGGGAAAATGACATGTTGTTTATTGGCAATTCCAACAGAGCTTGTCCCAGTTCCTGATGTAGCGGCTCTTATTGGTGCCTTGTATGCCAGATGGAGGCAATCATAGAACTGCAGACTAGTTTTTGGTTGGAGAAGTTAAGGATCATTGAATCCAATGGACAGGACAGGTCCAACAGACCTGGCACAAGGACGTTGACCTCTCACAAGCACAGGCTTCCCTTTGTTTAGAGTATGCCTTGGGGCTCAGTGCTGTCATTTTCCTGCTCCTTGGCAGTACTGCCTTTCCCACAAAAACCAGCACCCAGCTGGCTGAGAGACCACAGAGCATCTGTGTAAATAAGCCCTGGTGCTGTTGGTCTCACAGGGTGTGTGTATAGGTATGAGCTTTAACTTGGTATATGTATGTTATAATGAAGAAGTGGATTGAATTTCAGGAAACTTGCACCTCGAAAGGCTCTAGAAAAAAAGCTAGAGCTTTTTGCCTTAGGAGGGTTTTTTTTTTTTTGGTGGGGGGATGGGGGTGGGGTGGGGAAGAGGAAGTTGTTTTGATTGACTGAGATTTTATTTTTGGTTTTTCTTTGCCACTTTAAGAATTGCCTCTCAAAGGGGTTGGCATAGCTCTAACTTAGCTTTGCAGAAGAGGAAAGGCATTTTTTCATCCCCAATGAGGAGCTTGTCTGTATATTTTTGCTGCTGAGGGGAAGCGTAATGTTGGTTGACGTTGGGTTTTGTGGGCAGAACAACATGATTTGAAAAATGCCATTCTCACTTCAGCAAAAAAACATGACCTCAGCAAGTATTCTGTCACAGCTTCAAAATATGTGTGCCTGTAAGCCTTGGAAAATGAGTAGAGATTGAAATCAGCTGCTGTAGGCCAAGTTCTCCTTGGCTGCAGCCGTACCCAGAATGGGCTTTTTTTTCTGAACAAACTGTGTTATCTTTTTTGTTTCCACAAAGTCAAATAAAGGCCTTAAAAAATCAATTTGAAGGAAACAAACTATTCAAACTAGTCGACTGCAGATGCTCTTTTTAATAAAATGATGGTTTCTGTAGGATTTTTTTCAATCCTGTCATATGCTTTATGCTGGCTGGACCTTCTAGGCAGCTGCAACCCAGAGATAAGACTTTTGTCAGGTTACAGTTGAACTCCTAATTTCAACAATATTTTTGTTTTTCTAATTCAAGTTATTTAAGTGTTAGAAAACTCATTGACCAAATCCACTCTGTTTGAAGACATCAGAATGGCATCAGGAGTGAGTAATTATTGCTGCTGTGATTTATTGTCTTAGCTGGGGTAGCACCTGGTGGTCAGCTGAGAGCAGAGCTGTTCCCAGGCTGTGCAAACCCCCTACCTGCCTCTGAGTTCCATAAATCAGCCCAGCCCCAGCACTGCCTGAAGGTCCATAATGGGTGACAATGTTACTGTGGCATCTTGAATAAGAAGGCCTAGCCAACCTCTGCACGTCAGAAAACTGTTCCAAAAGCTGTGCCAAGCATTTTTGCTTCGGGTGTGCAACCAAAGCAGCTCTTGGCCTTCTGAGGCAAATATGAGTGCTTGGGTTGTGTGTATCCAAGGATCAATGCCCACAGCTTCAGTCTGCAGGATGCTGAACTTGCAGAAAAGGGGGTCAGTGAAAGATCAGGATTTTATTTTAGTTTCTGAATCAAAAGATAAAGATGCAAATAACTATCCCATCATTTTATTGATATCTGTGTAGGAAATACTTATATCTGTGTGGCTCTGTAGCTCTTCAAACTGTTAGACACATCCCACTACAAAGAGTCACTGTGCATACAAGGTTATTCTGTACCTTACAAATCCTTTGTTAAATTGCTGCTTGATCTGGAGGGGTGTTGTGGATCCAAGACTTTGTCTGAGGATCCTTCTTCGCTGTGAAAGCCTCTGCATTTAAACCCAGTTTCTCCAGTATGATGCAAGATGATGCACAGTGGAAGTTCCCTGTTGCTCTTCCACAGGGATGAGTTTTTCCTAGCCCCTTTGCCCACAACCAAACCTCTGCCACTATCAGGGCATCCAACTGCTGCCTATCCCTGCCAGCTTCCAGCCAGAGCCTGCCTGGAGCCAACATCAGCCTTGCAAAGGACTCTAGCTCCTGTTAAGCCTGGTTTTGAAAAACTGCTAACAAAAAGTATTCAATTTGTCTGCACAAAGGAGTTTCAGATCCCAGAAATTCCAGGGTGGCTTTTCTTATTTAGTTAGTTAGTTACTTTTATTTCAACCTCAAGATGTTACACAGGTGGACTCAGGGGCTCTCCACAGTGTCCACAGTTCTGGTACCTCTGATCTGCTGGGCATTGGGATGCAGCCTCTCTAGCTCTGACCATGAGCTTGGACATGTAATAGTGTCTGAGTGCTGTGGCTGTTCAGGGGTGACCAAGGAAATGAGCACCTCTGGGAAGCATGAGAAGGACGTGCTAGAACTGCGTGCAAGTGTGCAGCTGCTTCCTTCACACACGGAGGAAATCAAGCACGTGTCCCTGGCATAAAGTCAGAGGAGCCTTAACCCCAAAATTCCAGATACTGAGCTTGGCCTACACCCTTCCTCTGATGTTGGTGGCTGTGTGGTTGGAATGGGGCCAGCCACGCTATGGGGGCCTCCTGCCACCAGGAGGATTCAGCAGCTGTTTGTGAAGCCCCAGGCAGGAGTGGGATATAGTGCAGCCAGCATCTTCCGAGGCAGCACAGAGAAAATCCCTTTCCAATCAAACAAGTAGCTCTGGAGGAAAAGAAAAGGGTCTGAGGGATAAATGTTCTACTTGCAGCATTTGCACTGAGTTATTTTAGTTTTTATTTATCTTCAGTTTGGGGGTGAGTCAGCCTGGGATGTGGCTCAGACCATCTCCCTTGCAAGCCTTCAGGGAAGGCAGAGAGAGCGCAGCCTGTCCTCCTCTGTACCACTTACCAGTGCTTTACTACACACTTTATTTTGCAATTTTTTTTTTAAACTCTCCAAGTTGATGTTATTTTTTTCCCCTTTCCTCTCTCTCTAGTTTTGTATGGAGTTGAACCAGCCGACGCTGCCAAACATCCGTAAGTGGAAGGGTCCTAGAGGATGTTGGAAGGGTGTTGTTTCCGAGAAACCCTCAGGCCAGCTACACAAGGTACATTAATCCCTAAGTTTGAACTTTGGTTTTGCTTTTTCCCCCCCCTCTAACCAAGGACATAGTTTGAATGTTTAAGACAACACTTTTTGCAAATCCTTTTTGGCAAGGTTTGTATTTCTTGTTTTTTAAGCTGGCTGTTCCTGCAGCTCTTAATTTCACTATACAATTTATGTTTTGGAAGAATTGTGGCGCACTTGTAAGGAGGAAGATGCATGTGTGTATTTGGTGTGTGTGTTTTTGGGGGAGATGGATAAAAGCAGTACAGATATATAAATGAAAAGCTATGCATTTGGACAAGGTAAGAGTCCTGAGTTTTTCCCCTGGCAGGCTGCAGTACTTTTGACATTTTTTGTGGAAGTCACCTGAGTTTGCTCCCTGGTGCTACACTGGCTGATATTCAGAAGGCCTTCCCATTTTCCTACCATTTTCCTAGTTTTCAAGTGAAGAGTCCTCAGAGGAGCCCTGCAGCCTGCTATCCTCACCTGGAAGGGTTTACCTTTTGTGTTCCCCAGAGTCCTCGGCACAGGTGTTTAAAATACTGTGGACTCCATTTGAAATCTGCACCATGCTGCACTGTGCTTTTCCCTGCAGCATCTTCTGCTCTGGGAATATATATATGTTTAAATGTGTACTGCAGGGAGGTACTTATTTGTTTAGGTGGTGACAGCTGCACGTGCCTACCCTTGAGAATATTCATAGTGTAGCTGCACTGGGCTGGACATCACTAACAGTGCCCAAAAGCAGTTTTTCCAAAGAGAAGTCTCTCTTTTCCACCTTTAAGGATGCTAATGAGTTTTCAGAGCAGTGCCCTCTTTGAGCTGGAGACTGTTGTTGCTGAACAGGGTTGTTCTCATGGTGCAGTTATTGCAGTGTGGATGTTGTTGTGGGTAGAAGCAGGATCTGAGAGCTGTCACATAACAATTAGTGCCTGTTAGCACATGGGGCAGACTTCAACAATCCAGAATTATTTATTCTGAGCACTGTTATTACTACATATGTGGCTGCAGTTGTGTCCTATAGCCATGCTGCTTAGAATCCACATTTCTTTATTTTGGCTTTTCCAAATCAGGTTGCGTCACCCTTCTCGGTTTTGGACTCATGTTTTTGCAAGTGCACCTCCTTTTATTGCCCTTCTGAGAAAAGAATGAGAAAAACCAAGAATGAGGGAAAAATAAACCCAAACAAATCAAAACCCACCACTTGAGCAGGACAAGGATTGTACTCTAGCTAGACAGATACAGAGTGTCAAAGGGTCTGGAAAGATAGAGAGTGTCTGAATGTGTCTAAAGTTTAATACACTTCACACTTAATTGCAGTGCAGAATGTAAATGCCTCAGGACATTTTTATTTGTGGCTGGAGTTTTCCTTTGGGATCCCTTGTAAGGCCAGATCATTAAAACACTGAATAGAAATAGCTGTGTAAAGTTGTCAAAGTTGTTCCCTCCATTTTTTTCTTTCTTACCAAGAATTATTAATAAATATCTCAGAATTTCTATGTTAAATTCAGAGTCTTTAGTCAGTTATTTCTTGAGCTGTACTTCCAAAGATAACAATGGCAGCTTTGACTACAGGGTGCCTAAATAAAAATGATCATTCACCTTGTTTTACTGATAGGTATATAAGGATGAATGGTTCCCAAAATTATGGGAGAAATGTGCAACCAAACTAAGAATAGAAATTATAGAAATAGAATCAAAACCAAACTAAGAATAGAAATTTTATCTACTTGACTTTTCTTTTTAGCCAGAATCTGGCTGAGCTGTACAGCCCTTCAGTAAGCCAAAAAGTTTCTTCTTTTTCTGGGGCTAGTTAGTGAGTCTGTCAGGTTTGAGCACAGTGTACACAAATGCAATGAAGTAACACAGTGTAATCCCAAGAGCAAAGCATCTTTGGCACCAGCTGATTTTGGGATGCTGTGTCGGGTTAAATAAGACAAAAATGGTGGATGGTGCTTCTGGCTTGTTCTTCCATAAAGTCTGAGCATTTCAACCAGGCAATTACTTTTGACTGCCATGTTGATACAAAGTCTGGAGCCTGGAAATAGCCAACAACTGTTGACAGCAGTTTTATTCTTCCACATCTTTTTCTCTATCAGATTTTAGACCTTAGGCTTCTTACTGCTGGAAGAATTTCCTCAGTATTTTAAAGGTGACTTATCAAAGGAGCTACCAAAGAATTTAAACCAGCCTTAATCCTTTCAAGGCTCTTGGGAAATCAGTGCAACAGTTAACAATTTTTTATTGCAGCTGAAATGGAGAAAACTCTTCCTTGCAATGGATTTAACTGTGATTTGCTAAGAGAAGTGGGTTTGAATGATGCCAAGGGAAATGGTGCCTGGGTGATGGGAGAAGAGGCTGACAGTCTTTGAATTAGAAACTGCTGCTGGTGTGACAGCTTTCTGAAAATGCCAATTGCACATCATGAAGTAATCAAGAAAGAAGCCCGTTCAGGATCATAGAAGCAGAGCTGAAAGGACCAGAGAGCTGAACATGAAACATTCAAGCTGGAAAAGAGACAGAGAAATTGATAGGGCTAAGAGGTCTAGACCAGATTTCACACTAAGAGAGTGAAGGGGCCCGGATATTTATAGCTTGCGGGTGAAAAAAGGCTGTGAGATGGTGTGGAGCCTGGGGAGAAGGAACGACTGTGCACAGCATTGTCTGCTGCAAGCCCGAGCAGTCACTCAATGAGACCTCAGGGCACCAAACTCATAGTTAGACAATTAATCATGTGAGTAACAAACTGCCTGATTACTGACCATGCTCAGAGGTATCCAATGCCTTGCCTGGAGTAGGAGGAAATGGGGAAACATTAGCCAAACACGCACACGAAGGGCAGCATCCTTCACCCCTGCAGTGGTCCTGACCATGCTCTGCTTGTAGAAGATAAAACAGACTATTAAGTCCTTGGCTTTCCTGGAGCAGTGTGGAATTAACTAGGTGTCCAAAAGCCAGTGTGCAGGTGTGAGGGCTGTGAATAGCAGAGGGATGCGTGTTTCAGCTTGGCACACTCACTCTTCCATGAAGTCAGTGGAGCTTCCCAGGAAGCATTCCTCCCATGTCTGGTGGGAGTTTTGGCAGGGGTGAACTGAAGAAGCCTATTTGTCCTCTGTATCTTCCACTGATAGCCCAGAAAGCTGTTCCTACTTTATGCTTGGCCACAGCCAACTGGGCTTTCTGCCCTCAGCAGGCACCATGCCTATATATAGATAGATAGTTAGATAGATAGATAAGATAGATAGATAGATAGATAGATACATACATACATACATACATACATACATACATACATACTGGGCTACATTTGGGCAGAATGTTTTGTTTTTACCATCTTATGACCGGCATGTGTCTTTTTCCTTTTTTATTCCAGGGAGTTGAATATTCTGGCTTCCTCTGGGATACAACAGCTGGCATTGAGCTGAAAGATGCCTCATCTCAAGAGACTGCACAGACTAATGGCAATGGGAGGCACTCATATCCTCATCCTTATCTTGCACATTTCAAGGTAACTGCCACAGTGCACCTTTCAGAGTTTTTACTAAAAAGAATTTGGCTGTGATGAAAAGAGACACAGCCTTCTCACAGATAAAAATTTGCATGAGCCTCTGACCCTTCTTATCACTGTCCCATGGCTTGATTATGGATAGGTGCTTAATGCACCTTAATACATGTGGTAGTTCACCACAGTCAGTCCTTCCCTTGCTCCTGTGGGAGCAAACACTGCTGCAAGGGAATATTTGAGAGCCTGACAGTCAATGGATGCTTAACAGCAGCCAGGCCAGAGGCCTGGGATTCTTGACAGTGCTACAAAAAGGGATGAGTGCAGGGAGAATGGAGATGGATTATATATATATATGAGACTATGTGTGTGTTTAAGGCACAGTGCTCCAGTGAGACTTGGGCTGGCCGGTGTTATGTTGCTGCCACACTTCAGAATTTCCATTTTATAGCTTTTTCACTAGGGCTAAACCTGTCTAAAAGAGCATCATCATTTCTAGAGCCAGTTCTTGGGCATATGCTGGAGCAAACATATGAGCAGGGAGAGCCCATCTTCACACAGGCTGTGATGAAAGGGTCCAGTTTAGGGAACTTGACATCTCTGGCAATGCTTTGAGAGAAGCATTAATTGAATAATTATTAATAAATAAAGTATTAGTAATTAATTGATCATAGAAATACGTCAAAGTGACTCCCAGAAGGTGAACAGGAGATTTCAGGGAGAACAACAACTCCTTTCAAGGTACATTAAGTTTCTTGGTTAGTCTCTGTGACAAGCCAGGGCTAATCACAAGACAGTAGTAATTAGCCCCTGTAATGACCATGACATTATTTCTAGCTTATTAGCAACTGGTTTTACATAAACTGATTTTCATAAGCAGCTGACTTCTTTCTGCTGACTTTTTCACCACAGTGGTGAAAGGAAGCTGTTTGCTAATACAAACCAGTTTCCCCAGAACTGAGAGGGTATGAGGTTACTGCAAACAAAGCTGCAAAATGCAAATTCCTCCATCCTCTTCCTCCCCACACTGAGACACACCAAGGCACACCACATTTACAGCAGCATGATTCCTACTGCCCCAGATTTACTACTGAAATTACTGGGAGCTGGCACGTGGTTTTGTGTTGTGACGTTCCATTCCCCATGTGCACGGCATCGATTTCTCCTCCTTGCCCCCCCAGGTTGGAATGAATGATCTGACCGTGGTTAACCTTCACCTGGCCTTGCCACCCTCCGCGGGAGAGAACACTGGGAAGAACCACGACAGCCACAAACTGGCAGCCTGTGCGCAGAGTTTGCAGGAGACTCTGAAAGGTAAGGCAGGGGTTTTTCCTGCCAGCTATCACGTGCACACTATCTAATTCAAAGGAATTTTTTAAAGAGTAAACTTTGTCTCGGTGAGCATTTCAGAAATACCCTTATCAGCCTCACAATTGTCTTTACCCATATTTGTGTGATGCATAGCATGACAAATGTGCTTTTCCCTTGCTCATTGTCTTATAGTCTTTTCTAACTAACACAAACAGCACAGGAGATCCTACTGGCTTTGACACCATTTTTTCAAATTAAGTTCCTTCTGTTTTTGTACTACCGTAACAGCAAGTTCAAAGGAAAGAAAAGTCACTAGAGTTAAAACCTTCTTTTAAGTGCATGGTGGAAATGACACCTACCTGTTATCAAAGCAAAGCTTAATTATTTTTTTTCTTCCAAGAGAAATAGGTTCTATATATTTAATTTTTGGATAATTGGAAGCTCTTTGGAAAGCCCAATGCAAATTCGCAGATGACTGCTAATGAGAAAAGAGGCCAAAACCTGTTTTGGCACCTGGATGTAATATGTGGAATAATTTTGTTGATTTCAAATAAGTTGCTCTAGCTTTACACCAGGATGAAATGACATCAGAATTTAGACCTGAGCTTGAGAACTGAAATAGGCAGCTGGATTTCTTTACTTCATTTCTGTGAATTTGCTTTTTACTTTGAAGCTTGCAATTATGTTTAACTTCCTGTGAAGCAGAAAAAGCAGTTTAGATTCTAAATGTTGCTGATCCTGTTATTGGAACATTAGAAATGTCTAGCCCTTTGTTTACTGCTTAAGAAAGATGTGAAAGGGTTGCAAGGTTATTCGCATGATGATTTTCAACTTGGCCCAGCTCAGCAAGTTTAGTTACTTGGAAGTGTTAATATCTCTCTTGTATAACTCAAGAGGTATTTGTTGTTTTTCTACATGTTCTATTGTAGTTCCTTTTGAGCTGCAGAAGCCAGTCAGAGCTATTTTAAATGCTACTGATTTAAGTATTTGTCCACGTACTTTAAAACTGGAAAGGATGAAGGTAAACAAAAGGATCATTTGTTTAATCCCCAAAGGCTGAACTGAAACATGGGATAAATGTGTAGCTCTTCTGAAGTCAACTGAGCTGCACTTCCACTGCATCTAAATTTAGACTGTTGGTGTTACCTTTATTTCATGTTTTAATTTTCATATGGCAGGCACATTACTGGAGCATGCTTATTCTTGGCTTAGTCTTTCACAAAAGAAGAAATTCAGATTTTTCCAACCTTGTGGGATGCAGGTGTGGTCTCCTAAGGAAATGGTAGCGCACACATGTGACTTTGAAGTACTGAACTACCCTGCCAAAATGAATTTCATGTTTAGAATTACCACCATAGTTCAATTTCTTCCAAATTAGTCCACAAAATATGGGTAGTAAGAACTGATTTGTCTGTGGCTACTGCATTTGAGTTTCCGTTCCCATTTTGCTAACAGATACCTGTTCTATTATCTTTTATTCTTACTAAGAGGCAGGTGAGCATTTGAGGAACATTGTTTACTATCCACAGCCTCCCTTTACACAGGGCATAGTATCCCCATATTTCTCCCATTAAGTTTGTGGGTCCTGGTTCCTTTTTCCCCTCTCTTTTCTTCCCTTCATCAGTACTGGAGAGATGCAGTGGCTGTTAGCTGCTCTTTGCAGCAGCTCTTCTGCCTTCTCTCAAGAGCTCCACCAGTTCATCTCCAGCGTGGTGACCATGGTCAGTGCACAGATGTTCTTCTGGATGTCCTGGTAGTGGCTGGATATGGGGATCAGGGTGCTAGGTGGATTGAGAGAGTCCTGAGGAGAAGAGCTTGCAAGTGCTGGTGGATGAGTAGCTGGACATGTCCCAGCCATGTGCACCTGCAGCCCAAGAAGTCAGCCTCATCCTGGGCTGCATCAAAAGCACCATGGGCCAGCAGGGCAAGGCAGGGGATTCTGTCTCTCTAATCTGCTCCCGCCTGGAGAGTTGCATCCAGCTTTGGGATCCCCAGCGTAGGAAGGACATGGACCTGTTGGAGCAAGTCCACAAAAGGGCTGTGAAGATGATCAGAGGGCTAGAACACCTCTCCTGTGAAGAAAGGCTGAAGTATCCAGGGTGGTTCAGTCTGAAGAAGAGAAGACTTAGGGAATATCTTACAGCAGTCTTCCAGTACCTGAAAGGGGCCTATTAAAGAGCTGAAGAGGGACTTTTACGAGGACATGTAGTGCTGGAACAAGGGGGAGTGGCCTTAAACTGAAAAAGGGTAGTTTGAGATGAGATATTAGGAAGAAATTTGTGGTTGTGAGGGTGGTGAAGCACAATTGCCCAGAGCAGCTGTGGATGCTCCTCCTTTGCAGCGTTCAAGACCAAGTTGGATGGGCTGTGAATGACCTGGTCTAGCAGGATGTGTCCTACAGGGGGTTCGAACTAGATGACCTTTAAAGGTCCCTTCCAATACAAACCATGCTGTGATTCTGTGATATCTTCTGCCATGCGGCTTGGCCATATTCCACGGGTTACCCATGCATCAGGCACTAGGCTTACAAGACTTCTGAGAAGACTTCTTAGCAGCCACTGTAACATCACATCCTTCTCATCATACGTGCGTCACTCTGTTCAGGAAGGATCTGAGCATTTAAGTTTGTTTAATTCATGAGGGATATCATCCAGGGCATGGTAAAGAGCATGTCAGTAAGTGTGTCCTATAGATGTCCCCTTGGCCTGCCATGAAGGAGGGTTTCCCAGTTCCTGCAGAGATTTCAACACTGCAGACCTTCTGCAGGCACTGTCAGTCCCTCAGCTGATTGCCTTGGCACACCAGAGCTCAGCCACTGCAGCAGAGGGCTGAGTTAAGGTTCTGCTTTGCTTTGCTGGCCAAGAGCCACCTGCAGGCACTGCCAAAATTTGCCGGTGCTTTAGTGAATTTGAAAATGCCTTTGCAAACAGACCAGACTTATTTTTTCACCTGCGGAGTTCTCCATTGACAAGGGCATGGTTGCTTTGGGCCCAGAGGGTGTGAATGTGTGTGGGAGCGCTGCTGAGAGGTCATGAACAGGACATGTGCCTGGCTGCTGTGGGCTTTATGCCACCACGTCCCAACAGATGGAGGCTCTGGGTCCTTGTGGACAGTACAGTCTGTGTCAGGGACCTTTGCAGCAGAAGATTGGTTCTTAAGAGAGCTCCTGCTGCTCTGTCTCTTGGAGGAGGAGGAGGACCAGATTGCATTGACCAAGGAGCCTCTGGCTCCTGAGGAGCAGCATCAAGCCCTGCCAGTCTTAAACTCATTTCCTCCAAAAAAGGAAAATCACAGCACAGCACCAGTAGCATTGTCTTAATTTTCTATTTTTCTCTCCATCTTATCATAACTGGGGGCATCATGATTGTACTTTTTGATCAGTTATCATCTCTCATTATGAGCAAGGGCATGATTTCTTCCCGAACTTTTGCTAAGTTTGGCTGAGAGCCATTGAGGCTCATCCATGAGACCCCTGAGAGCTGCAGCTGCTGTGGGAAGCTCTGCTCCCTGCCTCTGCTGAAAGAACCAGGAGTGTCCAGTTAGACAGAGTCACACACTCAGGAGGATCCAGGCGGGTTCACTTCCTTCCCTCTCATGGCTGATGTCTGTCAGGGTCTTGGGAGGCAGACAAGACACAAAACTGCAGTTCTGGCGTGCTTGATGTTGTTGTTGCAGGAGCTGGCAGAGTTAGGAGCAGAGCTGAGAGTGAGCCAGGACAAAGGGGAAGTGAAGTTTGTGGTTGTTTAGAAAACTGGTTGCTTGCTTAGCATAGGAAGATATATTCCCCACTCTTGCAGTCTGAGGAGCCTCAGAAGCTCCTCTCAGAGGGGAACCAAAAGTACTCCTTTTTCTCCCCAATGGCAAATGGAGGTTCAGCTTTTTAACATGCTCCAGCCTATTCTGTCTGTCAGCTTTACACTTTGTTATGATTTTATGCTTTAAATGGGTGAAGAATATTATTATTCCCTCCCTGGACAGTCAGCTGCAGGCTGACTGCTTACCTCCTTCCAAGCAGGCATCCAAGTGCTGGGTCTTTTATACTCTGCTGTTTCTAACTTCTCCAGAATGGAAAGGTTAAAATTTTCAGTCATTTAAAATTTTCACTTGTAAGTACAGAGGTGTTTTTTCATAGATTTTTCACATAAGGGAGGTAGTCTTGAAGATTTGCTTAAAAAAGCATGAGTAGTTTAGGATAGATAGAGTAGATTTTGTGCATAATCAAGGTACTGCTGTTAAGATCCCAGCCTGTCTATAATTTTCAAATACCAAGGATGTGCTCCAGAGGTTTCTGTACTGGCCTTTTCCCATATAGTGTGGAGATGAAAGCATGGAAGGAGCCAAGTGCTGCCTGGGCCATTAAGCAAATGTTAGCACTGAAAGACCAAAGTTACACTTCAGGATTCCTGGTCCTGCCAAGCAAGAGATCTTGCAAGAGATCTTTGTTATGAGATGCATGCACAACTACCACCTCACAGCAGGCGCAGTCATCCCATTAGACAAAGACTGATTTTTCTTTTGGGTTCTGATGGAGCGTAGAATAACTTAGGTTGAGATTCAGGTGGGCTTTTTTCCTTCAAAGGTGGGAAGACTGCTGTAATGAGTGCTTTAAAGAATAATATTTAAACTTCATGTTATTTACAATATGATTTGTGACTTAAAAAGGGTAGAGAAACCACAAAGAATCTCACTAACTATTCATTGCCCCTCTGCATCTTAACAAGCACCATGTTTTGAAGTATTTGTAAGTAGCATGCCCTCAGTCTCGCTTGCTCTCTTGCCCTTTCCCAATTCGTCTTTCTTGCACTGCAAGACAGGAGTGGAATAGATTTGTTGAGCTTGTGCCCCCTCTCCTGGATAGAAAATTCTATAGCAACAGCAAAAAATGAAGAGGTTTATCCAGAGCACTGAGTATGGTAGAGAAAGTCTGTCCAACTGATCCGCTCTCACACTTCAATCCCAGGAAAGAAAAAGCTTATAAACTATTCATAGATCTCTCCTCTGAAGTCAGCTTTGGCATAATTTTTTTTTTTGCACATTTGTGCCTCCTTCAGCATCCTTCTCCAGTGGCAAGCAGTGACATGGAAGCATCTCTGGTCAGCTGTCACCATTCTTCAGTTATCTTGTCAGATATTTCTGCCAGTGGTTTGAGATGGGCATGGAGCTGTGTGCTTTGTCCTCTTATCCCAGGGCACAGGTGGAATGTCTGCATCCACGTCTGTGGGGCTAGGAGAGCACACGTGGATATGAGATTAGAGTCTGGAGTTTCCATTCTCACTCATTAGGGTTGGAAACAAAATGTAACTGAAGTAATTTTCTGTTCCAAATTGAACAGTATCCCTTCAGTTAGCCAGGCAAAAGAAAGTTGGTGTAGTCAGGGAGTGTCCGTGTGATTTCTCAACTCATCTTCTACCATCAGGCTTGCAGACTGCTCCTTGGTCCTATTCCTTGGGATTTTTTCAATGCAGAGGTTAGAATGAGCACTACACTTTCAGCAGTGAGGTATATATCAGCATAAGACTGCATGTGCCTGGGTGTCTCACAAAATTGTCCTTGACTCTTAAAAAAAATCTATTTTAAAAAATGCTCGCATAAGTTAAAGCCAGAAGATATTTCTTGGAGAAAAATAAACCAAACAAAAATAAAAAGGCACAGATTTCTAAAAACCTCTGAGACTAAAACTGCTTGTCTTTGAGTTTTTCACTAACAGGGAGTAGCAAGGAAAAGACATTAATCTTTGGGCTTCAGTAAAGCCTATCTCTCACAGCATCCTTCTGGACAAAATGTCCAACACACAGCTGGATAACCATGTTACATGATGGGCAAGCAACCAAGTCACAGATCAGGCCCAAAAAATTACTGTGAATGGGGTGACATCAGGTGGCATCTGGTCACTAGTGGGGTTCCACAGGGCTCCATCCTTGGCCCAGTTCTCTTCAGCATCTTCAGTAATGGACATGGGACTTGAAGGAGGAGTTTGAGGAGTTTGAAAACAACACTACATTGTGAGGAGCTGTCAGCTCCCTTGAGGGCAGACAGGTCCTGCAGAGAGACCTCAACAAACTAGAGAGATGGAAAATCACCAACCATATGAAGATTAACAAGTTCCAGATTCTGTACTTGGGATGGGGCAACCCTGCTTGTGTGCACAGACTGAGGAAAAAGAGGCTGAAGAGCGACCCTGTGGAAAAAAGACCCGGGAGTCCTGATCGATGGCAAGTTGAACATGAGCCAGCAGTGCCCTGGCAGCCAGGAGGGACAAACATGTCCTGGGGGGCATCAGGCACAGCATGGCCAGGCAGGCAAGGGAGGGGATTGTCCCACTCTGCTCTGCTCTGCACTGGGGCGGCCTCACCTCAAGTGCTGGGGGTCACAATATAAGAAAGACTTGAAGCTGTTAGAGAGTGTCCAGAGGAGGGCAGTGAGGATGGTGAAGGGGCTTGCAGGGAAGTTGTATGAGGAGCAGCTGAGGTCACTTGGTCTGTTCAGCCTGGAGGAGAGGAGACTGAGGGGAGATCTCATTGTGATCTTGAACATCCTCAGAAGGGGAAGAGAAGGGGCAGGTACTGATGTCTTCACTTTTGTGCCCAGTGACAGGACTTGAGGGAATGGCCTGAAGCTGGGTTCAGAGGAGGTTTAGGTTGGGTATTAGGCAGAAGTTCCTTGCCCAGAGGGTGGTTGGGCACTGGAACAGGCTCCCCAGAGAAGTGATCACAGCATAAAGCCTGTCTGAGTTCAAGAAGTGTTTGGACAATGCTCTCAGGCACACAGTGTGACTTGGGGTGTCCTGTGCAGGACCAGGAGTTGGACTTAATGACCCTTACTAGTTCCTTCCAACTCAGCATTTTCTATGATTCTATGACCCTATAATAAATGAGATGCTATTTTAAAAAGAGCATCAAATGTGTACTGGCTAGTTTTATTGTCATGAGGAGAACGGCCATGTGTAAATAGTCAGTGAAAAAGGCTTCAAAAGGCATTTCTTTCTGGAGTTTAGAGTACAATCACTTTGTTTAGTCAGTATTTGTATTTTCCCCCTTTCCATTAATCCTCTTGTACTTGAGTGATGAATGTCCATTCCCCCCATTCTTTTCTATTTTTCCTGTTTTCTAGGAGAAAAAGATGTGATAATCCTTGGAGATTTTAACCAGGCCCCCGACAGCAGCGACCATGACATCCTGAGGAAGGAGAAGTTTCACCATCTGGTCCCTTCCAGCACCTTCACCAACATCAGCACAAAGAACCCACAAGGGTCCAAGTCGCTGGATAACATCTGGATCAGTCGGAGCTTGAAAAAGGTTTTCACAGGTAGAGTTGCTTGAGTGAAGCTGTGTAACCTGTAGCTAGGTTAGCCTCGCATGCCCCTTGCTTTGGGCAGTGTCACCTAACATTTTCCCTGTCATTCTCTTTGATGCAGGCCACTGGGCTGTCGTGCGAGAAGGGCTCACAAACCCGTGGATCCCCGATAACTGGTCCTGGGGTGGGGTGGCTTCAGAGCACTGCCCCGTGCTCGCTGAGTTTTACCTGGAAAAGGACTGGAACAGGAAGGAGGTGACGCGGAATGGGAACGGGGTGACGGTTGAACGCAGCGACTCGCACACTAAGCACGAACGATGACGTGAACTTGAGGGTGCCTCTCCTGCCACCCAGGGAAGGCTCTGACTTCATGGCAGAGCAGGACTGCCTTCCCCTCCCTCTCCTTCCTGCTCTCCTCCCTGCACCTAGAAAGCATCAGCACTTGATTTTGGTGGTCCTGGCTTTGTGCCACTCCTGGACAGTTCTGGATGGAGTCTCATGGAAACAGAACAATCTGCAACTTTTTCCAGGGACACAATGGACATTTCCACACCTGGAGATTTGGACAAGAATTGTACAGAAAATAAAGTGTACTTTTAATATTGGAAGAGCTCTTTGCTAAAATGCAGCTGAATGGGGTTTTGCTGGGAGGGGGAAGGGCAGGTGATGGTTATTTTCCTTTGCCCTCTTGTAAATTGAGGTAATAAGAGAGGCCCCAAAAAGAGAGATGTGGTGGACACTCTTGGCAAGTCTCAAATGCTGAATACAGCACTTGCAAAAGCTGGAGCTGATCCCTGTGTGACCTGCAGTGAGACATGAGTGGTGCCTCTGCCCCAGCCTGGAGAGACACTGTTCCTCTGCAGCCACATGTATGCACCCCCTCATCCTTTCTTTCCTTCTCCCTTATGCTCCTAGCAAGGTAATTTTGGCCCAGAATAGCTTCCTGGAGCTTGACTTTGTCTTTTTGTTTGGTGCAACATTCAGTGTTGAGTTTTCCTCCTGCACAATAGTTTTCAGGAGCTGGGAAAGCACCAACTTGCCCCTCTGCATGGCCAGGTCCACTTCTCCAGTGCCCTTTGCCTTGCTCCCTCTTGGGGATCTCACAGGAACAGCCCTTGTCCTCTGGGTCTTCAGCTGGCATCAATGAGATGTAGCCATGGGTCTTTATCTAGGAGTCAATGTTCTGCAGGCCATGCATCCTGGAGGTCTATAGATGAGCCCATATTCATGTGCTCCCTGCAGGGCTGGCCCACATGATGCACTGACCTCTGCCCACTGACTTTTTTAGGGGGTTTCAGTTTCTCTCTCTGGCATAAGCCTGGTTCACTCACTCACCACAACTCACAAAATACAGCGTGTGGCAGGGATGGGGGCTGCTTCCAAGGGGTTTGGGATCTCTGCATGTCCTGGGTGGGGCACTTCAGTCAGAGCCCTGCCTCGGCAGCACCAGGAATGGAGCGTCGAATTTGCCACCTACATGAGATTTTTCATGCAGCAATTAATAATCAGTGACCCAGAAGGGAAACATATCAGCACTTCAGCATCTGCAAGAGAAATAGGTTGAGTGTGAAAGGTGCTGAGCTTCCCCCTAACCCAGTGCCTGCTGCTCTGGCCTGCAGATGACAACACATTTTGCTGCTGAGAGGAGAGGAAAGTTCTCTGGCATGGCTCACTACTCTTGACAGCAGTGCCACACTGAAGGAAATGTTGTAACTGAGAGTTTTAGAGCAAAACAGTAAAATATTCTTGAAGTATTTTTATTACTGTAACTTTCTGAGATACCACCTCATTTCTAATGACTTAATAATTGCAAATTTCTCAACAACTAAATAAATTCCCATGCAAACACACAGAGTTGAACAGCTTTTCTGTCTACATGCAAAACTAAACCCAGAAAAAGGTGGCACAGCCTGGGGGAGACTCTCAGACTGAGGGAGATTTCAAGGATGTTTCAAGAGGTCAAGTGAATGCCTAAGAACTCAGAACATCAGACCAAAAATGTACCTTTAGTTGCTCAACATTCCCTGTTGAAAAGTGCAGGCCCTTATTTCTGGTCATTAAAGAAACTATCTGAAGACCTTATCTCCAGCTTTCATTCTCAATCCTTGCTGCAACTTTGTCCTTTTCAATCAGGCACGATTTTGCTGCCCTCTTTTAATTTGAGCAGCACCAGATTCCCCAAGAAACTCTCACTGGATAACAGGCAAAGATGCAATAGAGTTGCCTTAGTCAAATGAATATTACATGAGGTGACAGGCAATAATATACCCAAAACAACACTCACTCTCATGTACCAGCTAGTGTTTCCCTGCTATAAATATGTTTGGAGGCTGAAATTATTTTATAGCTCTAGAAATAAAACTTGGAAATGCCAGATTCCATTTATTCTGCTGCAGGTATAAATAAGTGCAGAGGCACTGAAGCCTAGAGAAGCACCTGCAGCCTCCTGAGCAGGTGATAGTGCTCACAGGTGCTGCAGGGGCCCTTGCTTTGGCTCATGAGTTAACAGGGACTGCCAGTGTGGGAAATGAGCTGAGCCCCCTCCATAACCCATGTGTGAGCTGTAGGGAAAGTTAATGAGGCTGGTCTGTAGCCCAGAGGTTCCTCAGCCCAGAGGAGAGCTCTGGAAAGGTGATTTCTTGGTGGATAAAAAGATGCCTTGGGCTAAGATGGGAGGAAAATGGGGGAATTGGATACCTGTGTGTGGAATTCTGCCTTGCATGGAGCATCTGTATAAGGTATGTGCCTGGTTACTTCATTTTGCAATCAACAGTGCCTCACTGTGGTCTCACTGGTTTTAAAAAGTTTGCTTTTTTCTGACAACCCTGGAGGAGGAAGAGGTGGTTTTGAGTCTGATGGATTTTGGAGTTCCCAGAAACATCTGTTGTGCTACAGTTGTTCAGAAGCTGAAGTGGTGGCTGTGATTCTCCTGCCCCTGTGGGAGCAAGCCTGAATAGCAATTTCATTTCAAGATGCCCCTAGTGCAAGCTCAGCTGGCCCAGTTGGCTGTGGCTTTAGTGCCCAGGCAGTGCCAAGGAAGGCAGCAACTAAGGAGGGGGTGCAGAAGCAGTGAGCCATTCTTACAGAAGGGTGGATACATCTTACACATCTTGGGGTCCTCTCAGGAGCCCAAATTTTGTGAGGCAGGGTCCTGCTTCATTAGTAATGTCACCAATGGCTAGAGACTGATTTGGTCCAGGTTTTTTTTTTTTTTTTTTGTAAGGCTGTTTAGCTGTGCAGAGTGAAGGTTGGTGAAGCTCTTCCCTGTCTACTGCACATGGAACCTTGGCCACTCCTTACCACAAAGTGCTGCCTTCTGTCTCCTGCTAACACGTGCCAGCCTCAGACCTCCCCTGGCCAGAGGATGTGGTGACAGCTGATGCACAGCACATGGTCCCTGTGGTGGCTTCTGCAGGGATCTCACTGGAAGGACATATTTGAGTTTCTACCTTTTAGCATCCTCTGGAAAAAGCTTAAAGCAGCACCTAGCTCACCAAGGCTGAGGGGTATTTTAGCATTTGGTCTCTTTGCTCCTCACAGTGAAAGCTTTAAAATTATTCTCAGCTAAATTATTCTCTTTTCCCATTTGCACTGACTCATTTGCTTCATAGGAAATCCTCTGCGTTGTCCTGTGGACTTTTTAAAAGAACTTGGCTAATGTCCATTTGGTCACTTGTCTTTGCAGTGTTGTTGCACTGCAGTGCTGCAAATCATCTAAAAAAGGTGTGATACAGAAGAGCTTGGAGAGTTGTTAAAAACCTCTGAGGAGCAAACACAAGGAAATAACTGTCCTGGAGATGAACTTCCAAGATCCAGGTTGTGGCAGCAGCGGGTTGATAAATCCTGATGCAGTACTCAGAAGTGGAGGCTTGACTGTCCAAGTTAATCAGCATTGGTCTTGGTACCCTTAAACCCTAAGGGAAGTCAGTGCTCAGTGTTCCTAGAAAATGACAGAAAAGGGTCAGTCCAGGGGTCTTTAAAGTTTTCCTAGACATCTAAATGCTGCCTTCTGACATCAAGTTGATTTTTGGTTTTAAACCTGGTGTCTTGATGGAGCATACTGGCCACAGGCAGGAGCCAGATGTGATGGTAAGCAGAGCTCCCAGGTCAGCAGCTGTTATTTGCTGGGAGCACGTCAGGTCATAAATTTAAGTGCTCAGAAATTAGGTGGAAATGTCCCATATTTAGGTTATGAGCTTTCCCCTAGCTGCAGGAAGCAAGGCAAAAGCATGTAGGCATTTCTGGCCGCTGACTTTAGCATTTTTGTACAGAGTTTCTAGATGGGAAAAACTTTATAGGAAGCTCATGTTCTTTGTTTTTCCTAAGCAAAATGCAAAGCTCTTCCCCATGTGAGGAGTCACGCTGACTGTGAATCAGGGTTCTTGTGAGAAACAGCTTGCAGCAGCTTTTTTCATCCCCAGGAGAGATGCAGCAGCAGGTTTCTGTGAGCTGGCTGCTCTCAGGGTGACTGGAAGGCCATTGCCAGCAGCCTGCACAGCTCTCACTGTCACCATTCAGCAGTTCTGAGTTGCTTCTCACATTCCACAAAGCAGGATAAGACCAGAATTGCAGACAGAGCCCTTGTCTGCTTACCTATTTTTTAGGGTTTTAAGCCTTAAGCAATTTTTACCTCCATATCTGTAGATAAAAAAGTTCCTTTGTAAAATAGAAGTAGCTAAAAGGATTTACTCTAAAGTACCTACAAGGTTAGGTGTACATTGAGGAAATATGTTGCTGGATGACCCTTTGATGACCCATCCTTCTGGCCATCTCATAGCCCTACACAATTGGGTGTTCCCAGCTTGAAGGATATCCAAATGTCTCTTTATCAGCTGTGTGAAAGGCCTAATTTAAAAAGGGGAAAAAAATGGAATGTGCACAGACCTGAACTGCAACATTGCTCAAACTTCATGTGAAAACACAAGGAACACCAGGGTCTCAGAGCACTTTCCCACCAGATTTGAGGGAGTGGTCTTCAGGGAAGCTCTTCCTTCAGACCTCCTTAACTTCTTTGTCTATAGCCAAGAGAGGCTGCCTTGCAGCTGAGTGGTCACTTTGCCTCCCCTCATTCCTCTTGCCTGAAGCTCTCAGCAGGATCCCACAAAGGCCACTCATACGTGCCTGGCTGGGCACCTCAGTACTCTTGCACACCCTCCTTTGGGAGCATCTTGATTCCTTCAACTGCACAGCTATTGTTCCTTTTACTGACCAAGGGTGTTGGGAGCTGGAGGAGTGTGGACTAGAGAGACTGGGAAATTGGGAAGGACAGAGATGAGACAACAGATGGAGGAGTGAATCACCACTGGAGGCTTCTCCACATTGTCCTGTGTGTCTGGTGACATATCTTGCCCATGCCTAGAAAAGCTTCTTGGCTGAAAGTTATATAGGAAGATCAAAAATACAGGAGAGCTTAGCTTTAAAATACTGCTGGGGGAAAGGAAGAAGAGGTTGACTTACAGATCACCTGTGGATTTTTTGGTGGGTGAGAGTGAATTTACTTACTTTCTAGGCTCAGAGATGCATGATATGGTAGTGAATATATTCCTTAGATAAAATGGAATGTGAGGGACTTGGGTTAAAAAGAGGCCTGATGGATGAGTGCTAGAGACCAGAAAAAAAGTCAAACAAGACAGAAATGAGCCAGTAAGCTGAAGAAAACAGTGTGACAGGTCTCTTGCTTAGAACATAGCACAGGATGGAAATTGGGCCCTAAAGTATAAATGTGAGACCCTCCAGGTGTCCTTTTCAGAGCACTTGAGGGACAGGGCCTGAACACGAGCCCAGCCCTGCTGTACTGGAGTAGCTGTGAAGTGGAATTGCACAAACCCAGTGGAGAAAGTCCCTGCAGGGAGCTGTCCATCCTACCCTGATCCTGGGGGATGGCAGGAGTACAGTGGCTTCATGCCAGCCCCTCCTGTGCCACCATCTGCATTTCTCCCGCCACCAACTTTTTTAGGAATTTTTTCAGGAATTTTCTTTTCCAAACATGCCTATACAACCTGACCCTGCCCACTCATGACAGCTTTATTTGTGGGCTCTCTACTCCTGCTCTTTCCTTCTTCACGCTGTGGCTAGTGCAGCTCCAACTTCAGCCTCAGTTTCTTCACTTCTTTCTTCTAAAGAGCTGAAATAATGCTGTACTTCACCCTGCTTGTCCATAGACATCTCAGAAAAACATGTTTAAAGTGTCTCAGAGGCCCTGTGTGACTGGGGGAGATAGTAAACATTTCAGCAGCAGCATAAAAAATTAATTTGGACAACTTTAATGGGAAGGGTAAGGATATGCCTTGAAAGATAATCTTGATGACATCTTTCTGCAATGGAATCAATGTAAATGAAAGGATTTAAAATTCAATATCCAGATTTTCTGGATTTAATATAGACTGTGAGAAGTCTCTAATTGTTCAGCAAAGCTGAAATAGATTCTCCCTTCTGTATCTCAGACACTCATTTTAAACTGCATACTGAAAAAACCCTCTAAATTGATTTTGAGTTAATACATTACGGAAGTTATTAAGACACTTTTAAATGACTGTTCCCTTAAAAAACCCAAACTGAACAGACCAACAAAAGAAAGAAATGGCAAAAATCCTCCCAAATTCAGAAAAAATAATCATTCCAGCTATTTCCTTTTGCCTTTCTCTTGGCTTAGACAAGGTGTCTCTCAAGTTCCACTCTGACTCATGGGTCCCCAGATTCCATCCTGGTTTCTAGCATCAATGATTTCCATTTTTCCCTCCTTTCAGAGAACCTTGGTGCTTAAGTTTTTTCTCAAACTGCTGGCAGGGCATCCAGCTTCAAAATCCTGGCACTTGAATGCTGCAAAAAACTTTCAGAGCTGCATTGTTCC